TTTTTGAAGTAGAGAACAACAATCGTTCAGTTTGGTATAAAGAAAATTTCTATGTTCACATATTTTATAAAACACCTCAACTGACTGTATCTTATTTTTTTTTCTGTTGTAATGTTCGCAGTGGGCTTTCTGCTGCCCTGCAAGGCTTTAAACCTGGGTTTGAATGGAGACTAAGCCATTCTAAAGGACATATCAAGGAGCTCATTTTGAGCCTGGATCCATATTTATTTTTGATTCTGTTCCTGATGGAGAATCCTGCTTCACAGCAGCAGGTTGAGCCAAATGTGCAGGGTCATCTTTGAGCACCATTTCACTTTTCTTTCACCATTTCACTGCAGTTCTTCCAGCAGTCCACACTTTCTCTGCTCTCTTTTTCTCATCATCCTCTCCTTCTTTCCCATCCTGCCACAGGTTTGCCTGCTGTGTCCAAAAGTAGCAGCAGCAGCAACCCAGACTGACAGCAGCTCATTAGATCATTTGGATCACGTGCAGCCTGGTGCCGGACGCTCTGGAGGGCTTTACCGTATTAACAAGAGAAGCAGCGCAAGTGAAATTAGACACTGTCTTCAGACAACATGCAGTATTTAATAAATGTTTTAAATCAGGTTGGGTTGGGATTAGCCAGCAGGTGGGTCTGGATCCAGACCCTGGTCTGCTAATCGGTGACCTCTGCTATATCATATACAATCACAATATGATTTTTATAACCTTATAAAATGCAAAATGTTGGAAAGCTCCAAACCCATAAATACTTTCACAGTTGTTAGGCAAGTCCCAACTATTGTTGCCACGTGGTGGCAATAGAGACATCGCCTCCTGTTTCTGTTCGTCAGATTCTATTTAAATGTTTTTAGGAATTCCCTCCCTATATTCATCTATATAGTTTATCCTTTTAAAGCCCTGTTCTGGTCTAAAGAATAAGGTGGAAAGGATCTGTTATTTGTGTTTTTACGGCGGATAAACTTTTGTTTGCCAGCCAAACTGCAAAAGCTATATTGTTTTTTAAAGAACAGTTTTACTGTTTTAACACCAGGAAATTACAATATGATTCTAAACATGTTTCCAGGAAATATGTTTGCTCTTCTAAAGATGCCTATTGTTCTTTCTTTTCCCCAGTTTTATTTGTTTTATTTTTTTTAGATGTGATCACTGGGATCAAACACTCTTTAAACAACACTCCACTAATTTGTCTCAGACTAAGGAAATGGCTCAGGTTATATACAACTGGCATACAGGGCTTAACAGGAATGACCCCCAAAACATTTGAAATAACCTTTAAAAAAAGAAAAAGAAAGAATCTTTTTTTAGATCTGCAGTCACACCCTGATACTCAGCGTTCTAAGATCAAGGACATTCCACTGCTTGCTGTCAGAGTTTTCTTTGTTTACAATCATCACCTTTGGATCTTCCGCTTCATTAGCTTCTATATTTTATAATGTTACACTGGTTGTAACATTATAAATGGGTTGGAAAACTATGTAATAAAGTAAACAGGTTGGTAACATATCGGTTTCAACAAGCTTAAAATAAAATAAAGATTAATTCCAATCCTAAATGTGGAGTTCAAGAAAACTAGTCAAACTATTTTAAACCTCTTATTAAAATGCCACGTTTCCCATAAGTGTGTGTTGCAACCGGTCCATTAACTTATCTACTGTTCTCTGAGGTTCATTCTTCGTTAAACAGGTTAGGTTAATACACAGGACAGCTTCATTTCACTGGAAGAAGGTTTGGCCTAACTAAGGAGGAAAAAGGGAGGGACTACTATTGTGGTGGAGCAATAAGAATTGAGGACATAAACAGCACGAAGCTGGAGCCCAGAGCAAAACAACTTTTTCTGCAGTTAAAGTCAAGTTGATCCAGATCTACTTTATCTAGATCTTCTTTTATATTTTGTCCAACATGGATTCAGACTCAGCTAAAGGTCAGTATGTCTTTCTTCCTCAGGAGACTTATCCATGTATTTGACAGGTCTTAGTTATAACTTCCTGATCCTAAACCAGTCTTTAACTGTGACTTTTTCCAACACATTTTTATTTGGTTCTTTCAAGAAATAAGAATTGTCCTCCTGGGAAAAATTGGAGCTGGTAAAAGTGCAACAGGGAACACCATCCTGGGAGAGAAGAAGAAGGCTTTCAATGTCGACTCGTCTCCTTCATCTGTAACTAAGGAATGTCAAAAAGAAACTTGTAACCTGAATGACAGAACAGTGACCGTCATCGATACTCCGGGGATGTTTGACACAAAGCTCTCTCAGAAAGACTTAAAAAGAGAAATAGAGAAATGTATCATGATGTCTGTTCCTGGACCACATATATTCCTGCTTGTCATCAGGCTTGGTGTACATTTTACAACAGAGGAGAAGAATGCTCTCAAGTGGATCAAGGAAAACTTTGGTGAGGAAGTCTCATACTACACAGTTGTTGTTTTCAGCAGAGGTGATGAGCTTGAGGGCACCATTGAGAGCTATTTGCAGAAAAGTGAGGATCTGGAGAAGCTCATTAGTGACTGTGAAGGTAGATATGTTGTGTTTGACAATGAGAACATTGGAAATCAAACTCAGGTGAATGATCTATTTGAGATAATAGACGAGGCGGTAATATATAATTGGGGTCATTATACCAGCAAGATTTACGAAAAGGCCCAGAATAAACTATGGTGGGCTCAGGTTGGACAACATTTGGAGAATGCAAGAAGTTGTTTAATGTCTCTAGCAGGACAACCTGTAGTTGGTGGTGACATGATGGCAGGGGAAGAAGCAGCTTTTTCATGGAGAAATGCATTTTTTTCAGCGACAAATATGGCAGCACTAGGAGTTGCAGCAGTTTTAAAAGGTATTGGATGGTTAATCACACCTAAAAAAGACAACAGCTAAAGAACGTCAGAAAATGACATATCTGTAGCCGTACATACTGTTTTTACACTTGATACAATTTAATTAAATATATTGTATTTTGTCTTACATTTATCTAATGGGATGTGCACAGTTATAAAGAGGCCTTGCATAAAAATGTCCTTGCAGGCTGTAAAATATAAATAAAGCTACTTCTTTGTTCTATCTTACCGATGGTTAACAATTTCTTAGAAAGGGATTAAGGGTTCTTCAAATTCAATATTGATCATTGTTAAAGTGTATTAAGTGAATTGTGAAAGCAAAGTTTATTTCATTTTTTTCTGAAAATAAAGAACATATAAATGGCAAAAATTGACAATACTTTGATTTTCTTTTGTATCATCACCTCCATCTGGCTACAGGAAAGAGCACAGCACCATGATACCAGGTTTTTTTTTTGCTTTGTTTTTTTATGTTTAAAGGTGAAAGAAAATAAGGCATAAAACATTTTAAAATTTTTGTCATGCTTGTCCTTAAGTGGGTAGTTAGCTTGACTGGCGGAGGCCCAATATGTCATGATGTGGGAGGTTTACTAGCCCAAATGCAGAACTCACAGAGACTCAGGCAGGATTAAAGTCCAATATTTATTGGAAACACACAGGGTTCTGCCCTGGAAGGCAGAGAGGACAGAACAGGTTAGATTCAGGTGTACAGGTTAACAGGTTTCCAAAACTCACAGGTTCACAGGTTCAGACAGGCAGGGTTTAACAGGCAGGGTGGCTCAGGTTTGCTTCCATGGCAAGGACAACAATCCGGCTCAGAGGGGAGCTCTCACTCAGCTTATATAGGGAGAGCTCTTTAATCAGCAGATGGGGATCAGCTGTTTCTAATGAGCGCCAGCTCTCAGGAGAAGATCCACATCGCCCTCTGGAGGGCAAACCTCTGGATCCCAACACAATATTTAATGGAGAGACGACAAAACTAAAGTTTTGGTGGTTTTATTGAACTCCAGCTTGTGCAAACCTTTTCACACTAAAAAGAACAAACAGCATGTTATACCAAGCTGAATTCAGGTGACATAAAGGAAGGGACCATGAAAAGGGATTATTAAGAAAAAGAAGCAAAATTAATATACATATAAAGCTACACTAAAACAATAAACTATACACCCAAAGTGATATTTATATAGAAATCAATACAATTAAACAAATATAAAGTCAATAACAAAAACCCCATCAAATTAAAAAACTAATCCAAAAGTATCCTGCTGAACATTTTAGTTTGCTTCAAGTGCATTGCAGCACCTGGAGCACTTCTACCTTTTTCTGCCACGCCCTGCTGAGGAGCCAAACCAAGAAAAGGTAGGTACTCTGAGGTTCATTCTTCGTTAAACAGTTTAGGTTAACACACAGGACAATTTCATTTCACTGGTAGAATGATTTGCCTAACTAAGGAGGAAAAAGGGAGGGACTACTATTGTGGTGGAGGAATAAGAATTGAGGGCATAAACAGCACGAAGCTGGAGCCGAGAGCAAAACAACTTTTTCTGCAGTTAAGTAGAGTTGATCCAGATCTATTTTATCTAGATCTCCTTTTATATCTTGTCCAACATGGATTCAGACTCAGCTAAAGGTCAGTGTGTCTTTCTTCCTGAGGACACTTATCCATGTATTTGACAGGCCTTAGTTATAACTTCCTGATCCTAAACCAGTCTTTAACTGTGACTTTTTCCAACACATTTTTTTTCTGGTTCTTTCAAAGAAACAAGAATTGTCCTCCTGGGAGAAACTGGAGCTGGTAAAAGTGCATCAGGGAACACCATCCTGGGAAGGAAGAAGAGGAAGGCTTTCAATGTCGACTCGTCTCCTTCATCTGTGACTAAGGAATGTCAAAAAGAAACTTGTCACCTGAATGACAGAACATTGACCATCATTGATACTCCAGGGCTGTTTGACATAATGCACACTTTCGTCTGGTTTGGTCTGCCGCAGTTTCCGTAGACTCGTGAACGTGCTTTTAGGAAATCCTATACACTACTGTTTATGCTCTAAAAACATTCTAAATGACTTCGTTTCGAGTAAATT